TAATATAATATAATATATAATTTCATGCTAAATACAATTTCTTATTTTTTTCACCCCAAATTATTAATATATTTAAATTTGATATATACATGTTTTTCTATTTCCGAATATTACACAAATTAAAATTTATAATATATTATTATAATGCACAAAATAATCAAATGCATTATTGCAAGCATTTAGACATTATGGTACAATTTTTGTACTCTCTATGCTTAATGCTTATTAATGCTTTAATTAACTCTCTTTTAATGAATTAAGCAAAACATTGCCGTAATTATTGACTATACAGTAATATGGATCTAATAAGAAAATAGTAAACTTAGCTAATTCTCTATTTTTAATTGAATTGAATTTTAATTAAAAGTAAAATGTTTACATGCAATACAGATATGAATTTTGTGGTTAAAATGTACTATATAATATAACATATAATACATATTATTATATTACATTACATTTCCTTGATTTTATTTGGGGCAAAATATAATGTGAAAGTTCTTTTGTTAGAATAGTTTATGTAAAAGAGCAGTGACGTGGTGGCTGCTAATGAGAGTGACGGTAATTGAACACAAACACCAACAAAGCAGCCACATGGGAGACGCAGTGCACCCTGGGAAGGATGTGAGGAAGAGACGGGTCTCCTGAGGTGCACACACTCGCTCTCCGTCACGTCAAGGGTCACAGGTTCAGCCGTCAGCCGTGTTTGCACTACTGCACACCTTTATCAGCCTCGGGATCCTGGAGACGGCTGCTTTCCACAGATCAATGAGAGGAGAGCGGGCAGAAATCATGCACACCATCGGCTGCACTTTGAAAGCTGCTGGGTGAACGAGAACTTTGAAGTGCTAATCAGTTTTTCATGCAGCAAATAGGATCCAGAGACAAGAGAAAACCAAGTCCCCTAATTGACTAATGATAAAACAACTGGGTAATTAGAAAAGAGAGCGAGCTCTGTTAGCTCTCAAACACTCACACAAATAATGTCTGTGCATCATGAGTGTCTGAATATGGCTGTGAAGCAGAAAGAGCAGCATCGATCCTCAGTGGGAGGATATCCTTCTGATAAGAAGGCTTAGACACTGAACACACACACACCTCCCACTATTCATTTGCCTGAAATGCAGACACTTCTAGTTATGCAAGCTTGATCACTGCACAACAAAATGTGCACATATTGCACTGACAGAATTGCCATGAGATGCTATAGCTGATATTAACAAACTCTCTGCTTCTATGGTCAGTTTTCGCTTTAAGGTCGAGTACTGTCACAGCAGAAAACAGTGTGAAGAAAACTGTACTAAACGTGTTAATTAAAGTTAGTCAGTTTCATGCTTTCAGGAGCCCCATAAAACATCTAATAATCTAAATATTAATCATTTGGATTAGAATATAATAATTGAATATATATGATACATATATCATATCATATAATATAAATGATAAATATAAATAAATGAGATTGTATTGTCATTTTCAGTAGTTATATGTTCATGTGAATAATATAATCTAAATTCTTAATATTATTATACTTTATTTATATTAGTAGATATTTTTATACAGTTTTCTAGAGTTTTCACTTTATGGTCAACTTGAATCTTGTTGAGCATGTTAGTTAAAGGTAGTAAAAGTCAAATTCATGCTTTTAGGAGCCTTCTGTACATAAACACAAGAATATTATAGAATATAATGTCAACTATTTTATTAACAATAAATTAATTCCAATTTATATGTTTTCGCAAACATTTTTGGAATACAAAATAACACAAAGTTCGAATACAATGTTATTTTTGACTGACCATAGTGTTGTTTTAGTATTATCGAGATACTATTATAGTTTTAATTCATATTTTGAATGAGTTTTAATTTGAATATTTTCCATTTTTATTATAATTTTAGTTAAAGTTTAAGTAATTTTATTGTGTGTTTTTGTCATTAAAAAATACACACACACACTATATAGATTTTTTATAAATTTTTATTTTTAAGAAATGCTATTTTTATATATTAAAAATGTTTTTTATAATTTATTTTATATCAGTTAATGCTTGTTTTATTTAAGTTACATTTTATTTCAAATACTGATTTTTTGTTTAGTTTTTTTGTTTTTAGTTTTAGTTTCCGTTTTAGTTAACTATAATCACCCTGAATGACTGTCAATGGAGAAAGCATAAATGAAGTAGTGCATTAGCATCTTCACCTATTGTTACTGCTGCCTGTCCAGCAGGACCGAACACTGCGTTTGCATTAGCAATTGCATACATAAACACACACACACACACACACACACACACACAAGATGCTCACTAAGAATGGCGATTCCACACACACAGCGTTCTTTCCTCCTGTGCATTGTTCGCACTATCAGCTCACGGCCTCATGCTTCTCCCAAGGCCCAGTGCATTATGGGAGGCGCCCTCACTGGCCTGGCATGCTCTGACAGCTCTATTGTGAGACTCTCTGACTGACAGCTGATTTCTAAGGTCATGTTCAGCCGTGCATTACGCTTTAACGTATGTCTCTGTCAGCGCTGCAATAGTCTTAACTGCTCTCTGGTGGTCTAGTTTCACCTCAGCGGCTTTTCACACAAATCCCCTCGCGTAAACGGCTGCTAGCGCTACGGATGGAAGCGGCGTCCTTCTGCCGTGCTGCGATGCCACGGCGCAGAGCGACCCGACGGAAAGAAAAGGACTCGAGAGCTTCCTCTCTGTCGCAGGCAAAGGCAGAAATAGGTGGAGGTTAGACTGCTGGGAATGAATGAAGCACCGAGGAACAAACACACAGGCACCGAGAACAGAAACACGTCACTACAGACGTCACCGCTACTCCCTGCTCTCACCCAGCTGAGGAGAACTAGATCAAAAGTGCAAATACATTAGCATATCCGCACGCACACACACACTCACACACACACACACACACACACACTGGGGAGTTCCTGAATAAAAAAATAGTAAACTCACACACAAAATTATCATTCCATCTATCATTCTGGGTCATGTCATACCATCATAATCTACTGAGTAATAAATTATCCATTATATATATATTATAAAATGTATAACATTTTATAATAAGATTCCATTAGTTGACATTACTTGATGCATTAACTAAGATTACCTAACAATGACAGTACATTAGTTAGTTCATTCATTGTAAATTCAGGTCTATTAAATAATGCTAACAGAATCAACTTTTAATTTGAATAATACATTAATAAAGGTTGAAAATAACATTAACTAAGAGTGCTTTAGAATTGTTCATTGTTAGTTCATCATGTTCATTGAACCAATCTTTTGTAATCAATTCATACATTTATCTGGTTTCCAATTTAATTTTTCAACCAGGTACACTATTATTATTATTGTTATTATTATTAAATCTTCTTAAAATATTCTTTTAACTGATAATCAATTTATTTTTCTTGTTTCTAATATAAATTTTCACCTGGGTACATTATTATTGTATTTTTATTTTATTTAAAACACTTTTTAGCATGAAAGAATGTTTCTGATGCACGTCCTTATATTACACAAGTATATTCATATTTTGAAGTTCCAGAGTTCAAAGGAGCAGCAGAGCAGGCCAAGTGTGATGATGTCAGTAGGATGTTTGAAAGTTACAAGCACGGGGTCACACACAGGTCACCAACTCACAGACTCATTTACATTAGTCATAATGATTAATCAGAGATCTAGCAACAAAACAAACAACTCACAGACCCCACTTCACCCCAAAATCAAAAGAAGAAGATTAGAAATGATCTTTAGCATAAAGAACAATTCCGGACGATTAAGACTTGCTAGAGTGTGACATTATTTTCTTGACAATTAAGCACAAATTAACCACACATTTTCATTAATGAAATGCTGAAAATCTCCTTGCGTCTGAATGTTTTTTTATTTTTTATTCTTACACTGTAAATTATTTTTGAAGTTGAATAAAAACAAAGAATACTGGAGCGTATTAAAAAAATGCTATTTGAGTTTTTCTACTTCAAAAGTTCACAATTAATTCAATGCGTTACTTACCATTTCCTTGTAATTATTTGTGAAATATACTGCAATTTTTGAGTGAAAATTATTTCACCACCAATCTTTTAGTGCATTATGTTTAATGATTCTTCATTAGATTCCAGTTATTCTTTTTTTAACTACAATATACAGTTATTATTATTATTATTATTATTAAACTTCAATAAGCATAACTAAAAAGCAGTTTGACAAATATTACCATGATGAATACACTATTTATTTATTTTTTACATGATAGTAAGAGGCTTTCTGTGAATTTTGGAAGTAATGTGCGTAATTGTTTGTAAAATAATGTCACAAGGCACCTTGATGACTCTAAAATAATTAATTATTTAATTATTAAATAATTAATTATTGATTTTAAATTATTATTCTTATTTTTTTCTTTAATTAAAATTTATTTTTTATTTTTTTTTTTCTGCAAATTGTGGAAGAATCATGCTTAATTGTTTTGAAAATAATGTCATAAGGCAAATAAAACCATAATGACTAAAATTGGCCTCATTTTCATTAAATAAAAATACACTTTTTTGTTTTTGTTTTGTGAATTTTGGGAGAAATATGCTTAATTGTTTAGAAAATAATGTCAAATACATCCTTAATAACTCTAAAACGGGCTTTAATTTCTTTAAGTAAAATCATTCCAAAAAAATTATTTTGCGAATTTTGGGAGGATTACGCATAAAGTTATTTTTTGTTGTTGTTTAAATCATGTCAAAGCAAGTAAAACCTTAATGACTCTAAAATAGCCTTAATTTTCCTTTAATAACACATTTTTGGGAGAAATATGATTAATTGTTTTGAAAAAAATGTCACAATGCAAAGACCTTCATAAATCTAAATCAGGCTTCATTTTCATTTAGTAAAAATCATTTTTGATTTTAGGGTGAAACATGACCCAGAAAGGTTCTTTCAGATTCACTCTCAGAAATTCATCAGCTCTTTTTTAATCATCCAGACACTGACCTGAGATCCTCGGGCGCCTCTTTTGTGGTCCCATTCTTGCTGTGGGAGCATCTGTGGACAGACAGACGGGATGTTAGAGTCACACACACACAGCGGCGCAGCGCATATTTCATTCACCATTCACTATTCAGCATCTAGTGAGGCTACACGCTCTACCTCGCTCACTAAAAACACAGCACAGAGAGAGAGAGAGAGATAGTGAGAGAGAGAGAGAGAGAGAGAGAGAGAGAGAGAGCAAGAGAGAGGAAGTCTCTGAGCCCCAGGGATTCCTCTCTCTCTCTCTCTCTCTCTCTCTCTCCCTCCTCCCTCTCGCACACTTTCCATTTTGTTCAGTGACACACGCTCATAATTCAATTTCACAGTCAGGCTGCCTTTACTCGCCACTCTTTGCCGCTTAACAGCTTCTCAAAGGCTGTAAACTTTACACACTCTAATTAACAGACAGTAGGAGGTTCCTGCAGGGTGGAAAACAGGCCTCGTTGGCTCGAGAGTCGCGCATAAAAACATGTCGCCCATAACTGAAGAGCACCCTGTCTGAGAAACACCCGAGGACGAGACGCCGGGGATGCCCTTTCAACCCCGCTGAAATAGCCTCAGGACACGAGCCTGGGAAACTGGACTTTTAAAAATAAAATGCAAAATATTTTTCTTTGGTTTGAAGGGAGAGGAAGCCAAACAAATGGCATTCTGTCTGGGTTTATTGTATACAGCGGGACAGGCTGTAAATCAGGGTACTTGCTTTGACTTGGGCCACCCTCAGACCGGTCAGCTCTCTGGCACCGCAGGGAAACGCCACGGACATGACAGGACTACAGGAGTATTTACAGCCACAGAACGCCTTAATAACTTTCAATATATTCTCCCAAGTTGAGGGAAACAGTACGGTGGCCGAGAAGTGCAAAACAAATCACAATTCTGAAAACAAAATGACAAATTTCAAACGCAAATGCAAGTCTAAAAAACAAAATAACAATTCAGAAAACACAACAATAATTCAGAAAACATTATAACAAGTCAGAAAACACAACGACAAATCCGAAAACAAATGAACAAGTCAGAAAACACAACGACAAATCAGACAAACCAGAAGAGGTAGGTATAGTTTGAGACAGTGCCATTGGTTTGGGATTACTCACCGCTGACTGGACGAGACATCTGTCAATCAACGTATACAGGGAAGAACCAGCCGAAGAACAGCAGAGTCCTGGTAGAAAGTTCAGAGATGGTATTAAAGTAGCTCAGTTTAAATGTATTGTATGAATTGCCCTTACTATGGAATAAAAAATACAGAGTGTCTGTTTACACTTAGTGCAAATAGCCCACCTTATTGGCAGTAATTCCGCTCTCCGTGTGATTGGGCTAGTCAAAACTTTAAAAGCAGCTGAAAATAATCAGCTCCCAGTGGCGCAGATGGTTAAGTGCGTGTCATTGGCTTTTTGACGCGATTGACCCGGGTTCTATCCAGCCTTTTGCCAGACTTTTTTTTCTCCCTTTTCAAATCTCGTATCACATCGTAAAGGCATTTATTTTCAATAAAAATTAAGGAAACAATCAAAAAGTTGAAGATAAAGTATCGGGTAGGGTTAGGGTTCCAATAAGGTGGCATCCATTTAATAATTAAAATTAAAATTATAATTTACACTCAATACGTTATTATTGCATACTGTTTTATAATGTACTACAATACTGAAGTGCAGATAATTGCCACTATTTGCAACAAGTAGTACACATAGAAATCCTGCTATTTTAACAGTGTAAATAGGTATTTGCACTTAGTGTAAATAGCATATTGCTAAAAATACTGCTATTTTCACTTAGTGTAAATAGAATCCATTGCTAATACGAGATTTGAAAAGGGAGGAAAAAAAAGTTCGGCAAAAGGTGGGATCGAACCCAGGTCGACTGTGTCAAATAGCCTACAACACAAGCTTATCCATCTGCACCACTGGAGCTGATTTTTTACAGCCACTTTTAAAGTGTTGACTAGCCCAATCACATGTTGCAGGGCGGAATTACTGTACATAGCCTCTACCAACAAGATGGGATATTTGCACTAAGTGTAAACAGACACTCCGTATTTTTTATTCCATAGTAAGGGCAATTCATAATTTAAACTGAGCTAATATTTTCAGAATTGTGATTTGTTTTGCACTTCTCGGCCATCGTAAAACAGTCATGGAAAAGACAAAAACAACAGTTTACTGTTTAATCTGAACTATAAAAAAATACATGTGAGATTTACAAAAACAAATGTAGCTGTGATAGCCAGAAATTTACCGTAAAAATATGGTACAGACATTTTAGGTTTTACATATTGAACTATTCATCTATACAACAAAATTTACATGATCTAAAAAACATTTATTTTAAATAATTATAAACATATATAAATTGTTATTTTTGTATTCAATATTGATATATTATTGAATATTTTTATATATTTTATATTTGATATATTTATTTTGGGGTTATTTTAGATCTATCGATGGTTATTTCTATGGTTATTTTATATGTAGCTATGGTTATTTAAAATTTTATATATACATATATATATATATAAAATAAACAATTTAATAAGTCCCATAATGTACAACAACAACAATAACAATATTTATTATTTTTTATATTTAATGTTATTATAATAAATAATATCATAATGATATTAAATATACTATTATAAAATATATTCAACTGTATTTAGTGGATTTAAATTTACAGTAAATTCACAGTAAAAGTATTTTTATTTATTTATTTGATTTGAGATCTATTATTGATATTTTAATCAAATATAGAACTAAATAAAAGAGAATAAAATAAAAACATATTTCAGAGTACCATAATAATAATAATAATAATTTAATTATATTACATTAAATAATATCATAATGATATTATATTATTATAAAATATATTTTGAACTATTGACATACAAAAATCTGTTTGTACCTTTATATAACACAATCAAAAAAAAAGAAAGTCATGTGATCATTGAAAAGTAGCTTTTTCACAAGCTGAGGAAAACACTAATATATTTAAGGTGCACATTATACACACAAATACAAAACACCAAGACACAACACTAAAATAATCTAATAAACATGAATTTAACAATGTAAGTTGTAACAAAAACACCTAATGTATATGAGTAATTAGAAAAAACCTAAGAAACTATAAGATGACATTCCGTTTCACTTCGAAATACTAATTTAACAGTATTTTAGTGTAAAATTACATGAAATGTCCCATTAGTTCTTTTGCAGTTTTTCATTGTACAGAGAAAGGGAACTTCAAGTTAACCAACTCTTTTTTACTGTAACATTCTGATAGTCTTTTACTATTAAAATATATCCTTTTTAAATGTGTAATTACATTTTTTAGCAAAGGAAATGGAATATCTGACGTCTTAAAATATGTCTTTCTTTGCACATTTAAAAGTAAATACGATGGTACATGAATATGGCTGGTATCATGATACCAGCACTGTACTTTTCTGCTAGTTTTCTTTCTGTCTGTCACACAGCAGCATGATATTTTGACAGGCTGGAAATGGTTCTGTCGTTAACTCAGTGTCAATCAGAGGAATCTCAGCCAGGTTACATAATGTTACGTAAAGGCTCTCTGGCCGAGGGTCAAGCCGTGTCCTCAGCTGCAGCTTTAGGAAACCAATGAATGTCATTCATGACTTTGCCATCATGCATTCATTCATTAGTTTCTGGCTCTTAAGAGGCCTAAAACACAATGCTGTTTCTAGGGATGATTCACAAACCATTTGTTCTTTTAGATTGGTTTGGCAATAAAACTACAAGGTTGATATGATTCTTTAGGGTCTTAATGAAAAGTCTGTAACATAGTTTGGTTAAAATTTCTCAATGGTAGTGTAAAAAACACCTTTTTTACCCTGTCAAAAACAGCTCTTTTCAGATCAAGCTGTTTTTGTAGCATTTTCCTTTAAATGTTAATGAGCTCTGCTGACCCCATCAGCAGAGAGCAGTCTCTTTCGAGCTCCGGCGATGAAACAATGATGACAGCTGTCAACTGATGACAGCTCACTCAGGGCGGGTCTGAGGTAAGACGACAGTCCAGTCTGTGCTGAAACGCTACTGTCAATCAAACTATCGTAGGAGGGGCCTGTCTGTGTGACGTCACACAGACAGGCATCTGAGATCGGCTCGATTTGAGAAAGGGGAAAACATTTAACCAGATTTTAAAAAACCACTGGGTGGATCTTTATCATTATAGGGTGGTTGTGTACACACACTGCCAACACACATTTCAGTTCAAACTACTTGTAAAAGTGCATGTAGCATCCTATGACCCCTTTAACTTTAATAATATAGATTTATTATACATTCAGAATGTCTGAATGTTCTGAATGTCTGAATTCACATTCAGAAGTGACAATATGAAACAGAAAATCTGTATCAAATGCAAAAATAAATCCTTTTTTAAGTTATTTAACAAACCATTTGAATGAATTGATTCTCTGAAATGAATCAGATTTCACAGTGTGATTTGTAGCTTCAAGCTTCTTGGATGAGCTATTACTTTAAAAACGGTTTTAGTAAAAGTTATTTAACAACAACTACAACAACAACAACAAACATTAGATCCACACCTGTTGTTTTCCCTCAGTTATGAACAATATTAAATCAAAAAACAAGACAAACATCACTAAAGTTGAATAGGCAAGTCATTTTAGTTGAGATCGAGCTGCAGGACAGGTGTATCTGCAGTCCGAACAAAACACCTTCAGCAGGCCATAGCTTCCACCAGGACAAAACACATTTTCAGACGACTTCCCGAGAGAAACACTTCTTTGAAAAGTCAACACGGCACAGGCCCACAAAGCCTCGAGGTTTTCCGAAACCTGCCAGCCTTCTGGTCTGGGGTTTATTTCACCGAAACGGCAGTGTGGCATTTAGCTGCTATATTAATAACAGAGCCTGACGTAGATCCACCCTCATCTACCGCTGTTAAAATCATTAAACTATTCATAAAACACTGGAGAATGGGCAGAGGAGAGATTTTCCAAGGTATTTCAAAGGCTTTCC